GGAGCTTTGACGAGCTCGAACTGGCGTATTCGAGGAAACCCTATCGCTTGTATGACGAGATGCTCCGGTGGTATGCCCTTTCCTATCACGTCAAAGAGGTCCTCGCGGTGAAGGAGATGATGTCGGAGCGGGGTATTCCCCCGACGAGTCATACCTTCCATCATCTGTTTCGCGTCTTGGATCGGTATTATCCACGGATGGTGGAGCGGTTTTACGCGGAGATGCGCGGGCGCGGGGTGGGGATCGCGACCGCGAGTTTTCCCATCCTCCTCCGCGTCTTTCGCGAGCTCGGCAACGAGGCGGTGGTGGAGGAGCTGCTTGTGGAGCTGCGAGCGCGGGAGGCGAGCGGGGACCCCGCCGTCACCTCCCCTGCGATCGCAAAAGAGCTCCATCGCGCCCTGCCTTCGCCCCCCATCGACGGAAAGGCGGGGGAAGGGGAAGGGGAGGAGGGGGAGAAACGGCCGTCCACCCCCTCCTCCTCTTCGGCTTCTTCTTCGATTTCGTTTTACGAGGAGGCGGCGAGGGAGCTTCGGGAGGCCGTGGCGCGGCGGGATCGCCCGGCGTTCGAGGGGACCCTCGCTCGTCTGCGCAAAAGGGCGATTCGCCCGCGTGGGACGCTGCTCGGCGTGATTCTTCGCGGGTGGGGGGTTTTTAAAAACCCCGACGGCGTCGCCGCGGCGCTTGCGGATGGGGAGAACGAAGGCGGCGGGAGACGAGCTGCCCTCCTCGCGGATGCCGCGGCCGCCTTCGCGCGGATGCGGGCGGTCGCCGAGGTGGATCGTTGCTGGCAGGAACTTCTTGAATCCTGCGGGGCGATCCCAATGGCGGTGTATAATCGATTTTTAGATCTCTACCTCTCGCTGAATCAGATCCCGAAGGTGCAGGGGATTTTGGATACGATGATGAAACGCATGCCGCCGAACATTCTAACGGCGACGACGGTGGTGGATCTCCTCGGACGAATGGGGCGGTTCGACGAAATGGAAGAAGTTTTCGCGGAGATGGCAAAATCCCCTCACACCACCCCGAATTTAACCACCTATCATCGCGCGATGGCCGCGTACGCGCGCGGCGGCGACGTCGCGAAGTTGGAGGCGTTTCGGGAACGAATGCTTCGCGAGGGGTTTGTGGAGAATTCGACGACGTTTAACCTCCTTTTCGAAGGTTACGGCCGCGCGAAACGCTACGCGCAGCTCCAGGAGTTGTGGAAGGAGCGCCAGGCGAAAGGGATCGCGATGGAGGAGAATGGATTTGTGCTTTTGTTTCATATTTACGCCCGGGCGAGGATGCCGGAGGAGACGATGCTACTCGCGACGGCCATGGAGGAAAGCGGCATCGCGTTATCCAGCCGTCTGCTCGCCACCGTGGCGAGTGCTTTCGGGGCGGTTGGAAACATGGAGGAGATGTCGAAATACGTCGCGCGACTTCGTGCCCTTCCAAGGCCGCGATTGCGGGATATTGAATCCATTTATAACCTCTTCGCGCGGATTCGCGATGTCGTGCGGTTGCAGGAGTTGCTGGATTCCGAAACGCTGCCAAAGAGTGAGTTGATTTACAACATCTCCGTCTCCGCCTTTGCGCGGGCGGGGGAGCGCACCAAGGTCGCTCATCTGCTCACGGAGATGGAGCAAAAGGGGTATAAGCTAAGTCGAAGCTCCAATATGATCCTGAGCTCGCTGCTTTTGAAATCGGGAAGGGGGGATATCGCGCAGGCGATGCTTCAAGGGGATTACGAGGATTCCGCGGAGGACGGGGGTGGGGAAAAGACTTCATGGGGGTTGACGCCGCCGGATTCGTCGTTGGAGACCGCCGGGGAGGAGGATTCGGGGTTATTAGAACGGATCGAGCATGACCCCCCCCCACCCCCTCTCCCTGAGGAGGATAAGGAAAACACCTTGGCGAGTGAGGAGGGTGAAGAATAACCGCTGCGCTCATCGGGGCGATGCTTGAATGTGATGGATTCCTGTTTCTGCTATGTTGGGTTGCGTGGTGGGGTGGATGAATTTGTTTTATGTGCGGATGGGAAGGTGGGGAGGGTGTTTTCTGTTTGAAATGCGATCTGTTGAATTTCATTTCAAAGAAACATCTCTCAGCCATGCTTGTCTTCGCCCACTTTAATCGATGAGAGCTCTAAATGACACGTTTAGCATGCTGTGATGGATCTTTTTGTGTTGTTTACATTCAAGTCAATGCCTGCTTTTTTGAACCGCTCATACGGTATAATGAGATCCACTGGGAAGTCCAGTTCGCATTGGGGTTCATATTTCTTTTGGTGATTTTTTCGGTGTTTGTCTTTTCTTCTCTTTACTTTGGATGGCTGCGCACGGTAGAGCTAGTGGGGAATAGAAATTATACCATATTCTTTAAGTTTAACGAGTTGTGTAACCATTAAATTCCTTTTAAAACGGAGGACCCACTAACGAACATCCTCACTTCCTGATATAACGAAACGAAGAGGAACATCGTTAAGTGTATCCCTAAAGTAACTCATAATCCCCGCCGTTTCGAATGGAAACCAACCTCCCGGTGGTTTCCCAATGCGATCCACCCCCTCCATCGCGCCCCAATGATCTGCCGCTAGAGGATTTCATACCCCCCTCTCCCATCGACGTCGTCGGCGCGACGCCGGCGCGTTCCAAACCCCTCAAAACTTCCAAAAAGTCCACCCAAAAGATCAAACTCCCGTCCAATAGCGTCGATTGCATGGTGCAACGAACCAATGATGATAGCGCGACGAGCAAACGCTCCGCCGTCGCGTGTGGGTACGTCGAGGATCCGTTTCTTCGGTATTTCGTGCGCAAACCCTGCCGTCGCTCCCCGTTGGTGAATCGTGGGTATTACCTTCGCATGGTGGTCCTCTCCGATCTCGTGATGCGATGGATTCGGTACTTCTTGGAGGACGCCCCCCCCGCGCCGGACGGGCCGCCGTTGCATGTGATTTCCCTCGGCGCGGGGTTCGACACCCTCGCGATGCGCGTCCTCCTGCCGGATCGCTTTGCGTCCGCGCGCGGCGGCCC